TAATGATTTATATTAGTTATTAATAATTAACAGGGTGACGTCACTTCCGTTACGTTACTTCCGGCGTCGGAGGAGTGATTTGCACACAGATGTCACTCCTTCGACGGGCGTTGGAGGAAGTGCGGCCCATCAAAAGTGGTCCCCAAGTGGCAACAAATGACGTCACATAAGCCGGAGTGTCATGCTGTCGCCTGTCGCGATCCTGGCGGTTGGCCGTAGAAATGCTGGAGAAAAGCACGAGCGAACGCGAGCGTCGCTGTGGTCACGGTGTCCCGAATTCCGGCTGCTCTAACTACCGTGAACTGTCACAGTGGAGAGCGACCCGCAGCAGAACAGGCGTCTGCAATACGTACCACAACTATTGTGACGCCGCCAGGGTCGCCACCGCGACAGCATGACACATTTATGACGTCATCAGGCGGAAATCGAGGGACCACTTTTTTGGCCGCGGTAAACACACCAGTCGGAGACGCGTTCCAGGCACCATACTTTGCTGGAATCTCGTCCAGGATGCAATTTTCTTGCCCTCGCCCCCCCCCCCCCCCCCCCTTCAAAAAAAAAAAAAAAAAGCGTTGCTGCTAAATGAAAGAACGTGGTTGTCCTGTGCTGGTCCTCCGCGTTTTATTCTTTCGATTTTAAGTAATATCTCGTTGTCGTGTATAACTAGAGCGGTCTCTTAAGTCATAAACAATATCGAAATCTCCTAACGTAATGATTTTACTTTGGCAGTCTGGATATCCGTAAATCATCTAAAATCACTTTCTTAGCATTAGCATCGTTTTGCGAGTACAAATTTATTATTCTGTAATCATCATCAAGCTGCAATCACAAATAACAAATCTATCCTCGCTATCAACAGTGAGGGAGAGGTGGCGCCTCATGCCAATGGACCTCCGGACAGTCCATTGGCATGAGAGACGTAAACCTTGATGTAATCTAAAAAAGGGGTCAGCAGGAAATCGGTTGCCTCATCGCTTTCAACCTTTGTGTCCCGACCCGCGAGGATGTCAATGCCAATATCGATTAGCAGCCTTCTGACTTGGCACTGCTTGCGACGCGAGGCAAACCCGGGAACATTAAGCTTCGCTACTTTCAGGTTTACGATAAAGCTAGACGCCTTCGCGTGTCAGGGGCTCGCTTGGTTGACGGATCCTCACAAGGAGCTGGCTCGGGGACGCTTCAACCGTCCTGTTTGTCTGGATCCCTGGGTTCAGGCACAGGTTTTGGAGGCGGTCGAAGCGGCTTCCTTTTAGGCGGTGCCGCCTTCATCGCTCCACTAGGGTCGGTCCGCTATCGACTTGCTTTCAGTCCTATCTTTCAGGATGAGGGCGTTTCGCAGCCAGCCCGCTGGCGTCTGCCATGTGAACTTCGCTAACCGATGGAACCGCACTGTTTAACTGGGGAACTTCAATCCTCAACGTCGGCCGTTCATTTTTTGTCGCCGTCTCTTTGTTGGCCGGCGCCTCTTCCCGGCTTCCCGTAGATACGTTGAGCGATGAACCAGCTAACGACCACCTTTAGCGGGTGCTCCGACGCGGCCTGGTCGGCCTCCGTGCCCTCCTTTCCTGTGACTCGGTGGCGGAGGCCGCCCCTTCCAGTGCTTCTGCGCGTCCGCTTGATCCATGACATCTCGGCGTTGGCGTCTTTCCACCCCAACATGTGGCCTCCGCGAAGGTCTTGATGCAGTGATCCACGTCATGACCGAACCAATGGCAGGATTGGCACCCCGGCGCACGGCAATCACGACGGACGTGCCCGGTCCGCTGACAGCTCAGGGAAAACGGTGGTCCGCCCGACGCCACGACGAGTGCCGGCCTTCCGGCTATACGCAGCTGGGGGAGCAAGTCTTCCAGCCCTAGCCCTGGCTTAAGCCGGATAACAGCCGTGCGTGTCATCGACCCACAGCGCATGTCACCTTGAGCCGGCCACTTCTCAATTCCCACGTCGATCACCAGGCCATACGGTGCAAGTGCCACTCTCACTTTGTCGTCAGGAACGTAATGAAGCAGCCAACGAGTCTTGACCCGGGCGTCCCAGTTCGTAGGGCCCACGACGACGCATCGCCGTCCCTTAACTACGAGGTCGCCCGCAGCGAGCATCTTCCGCTTACCCTCGGGTGACCTGAAGGTCACAGCCCAGACGTGGTTCATCTGATACGCCCGCGGGGTAAGAACCTCGGGGACCAGTGCCAGTTGACTGAGGGTGCCGCAGAAATCTTCCACACGGTACCGGCGACCCCAGACGTCATCGTGAAGAAACATGGTATTAAGCACCGGAGGTCCAGCTGGCAGAGGCGGCCAAATTATCTGCTACTCCGAGGACGGGGAGCCATTCCTGTCACTGTGGCCCGACTCGGCCACTATCGCTGCTCCGGCAGAGCCTGCCATCCCACGCCCGCACTCGATGAAAGCCAGAAGTGAAATGGGCCAGGCGGACACGGTTGCGCGGCTGGGGAGCAAGCGGTGGGTTATTCGCCCTGTGTTGTTTGGCAACCAACCCAGTGGGGCCATCTGCTGGGTAGCCCCGGCACACTTCCGGTTCACATATATTTCCTAATCTTTTACTTATTAATCTTTTATCATAAGATTATATTAAGTCTGACAGCGCTATAAGTGCCAATTTCCAGAAGATAGCGTGTATATTTGACATCGCAAATACTGCCAAACCCGCCATCTAGTTAATAACTGGAAGTGGTTGGGGGCTATTTGCACACTGGCACCACCACGTTTGAACTCACGCGAGAAAGAGTGAATACGTTTAGCTATGGCGTTCAAAACTTAAAGGCGAAGCTTTAGCATCCTCCTTTGATTTTTCTGACCTCTTTCAGAGCAGCAAAAGTGCGCGTGCATAGCTTTGATAGGCGCTGAGGATGGGCGAAAGCAAAGGTTCTAAAACCACCTTTTATGACGTAACACTCCGGGAAGGAGGGGCTTCAAAGGTATTTTGGAAATGATTTTTGTGCTTTTACTAAAACACAGAAACGCTTCAGTTTCCCTTTAAAAGCCCTAACCCAGGTGCGCAGGCAGATTTGTGAACGTGAAACTGCGGGACGTACAGTTTCCCTCAGAGAATCTACGTCTTCCCGCAGCCTGCTGGCCTTGAGGAGCGTCTTCTCTTCGCAAGACGCCGTGCTCCTGTGTCGCGGATGCCTAGAAAACCTGGTGGGCGTCTCGTACATTGGACACGCCTTCGGACTGGCCCTAACCATGATTGATCGTGTCGTAATTTGTGAATTTCCTGCCGACGAAAAAAAAAAGAAAAAAAGAAGGAAAATGAAACCTTTTTTGTATAGATTTACTTTTAAACTTTCATTAAACCCACCTCAAACCTGCACAAAAAAAAAAAAAAGTCAAGCAGGCGATGAAAAAGCAAATGAGGTCGGAGAATGGCGAGGAGAAAACTTGAGGTGATTTCCCCCTTTTATGTTCTGGGAGGGTTGGCGAGGAGGAATGTGGGGTCGGAATCCTTTTCTCTGCTTGCGGGCCGGCCTTTACAATCATCTTTTCAACGTTTTTTTTTTAGAGCGCAGCTCTTAGGGGCCCGTTCCCGGCTTGAGCGGCGTCGGCGTCGGCGTAACCAAGGTCATCCTAAGGTCACGTGACCCCCAAGGTCACGTGACTCCTGCAGGTCACGTGACCCCTCCCAAGGTCATCTCAAGGTCACGTGACCCCACGTGACCCCCTAAAGGTCATGTGACCCCCAAGGTCACGTTACCTTGGGGGTCACGTGGGGTCCTTGGAATCACGTGACCCCCAAGGTCACGTGACCCTTCGAGGTCACGTGACCCCTCCCAAGGTCCTTTCAAGGTCACATGACCCCAAGATGACCCCACGTGAGCCTTTGAAGGTCACGTGACCCCCCAGGCCACGTGACCCCCAAGTCACGTGACCCCTCTGAGGTCACGTGACCCCTGAGGTCACGTGGTCTCCTCCCCAAGGTCACGCGACCCCCGAGGTCACGTGACCCCTGCCAAGGTCATCTCAAGGTCGCGTGACCCCAAGGTAACCCCCACGAGACCCCCCAGGTCACGTGACCCCTCTGAGGTCACGTGACCCCTCTGAGGTCACGTGACCCCCTGAGGTCACGTGGGGGTCACCTTGGGGGTCACGTGACCTTGAGGGGACCCCCGTGACGCCCAAGGTCACGTGACCCCCAGGTCACGCCTCCCCGAGGTCACGTGACCCCCCTCCCCGAAGTCACGTGACACCCCCCCCCCCCCCCCCCCGAGGTCACATGACCCCCCCCCCCCCGGAGCATATTAAAGAATGAGGGGAAGAGGAGGAGAAGGAGGAGGGGTCTACCCTCCCCCCAGTACCCTTCCCTCCTCCTCCTCAAGAGCTGCGCTCCAATTCGGCGTTACAGGGATTTGTAAACGGCTTTCACTTTTATTCTTTTGAAAGACACAACTTTATTTTAATTTGTATTTGTGACATCATATATAAATGCATTGCAGCATGTTGGTGCCCATCATCCTACAAAGTGCCAGGTGACATGCTATGATCCTTACCAGAAGCTGCAGTTGCCAAAGAAAGTTTGCCCCGGCGATAGCCTGGTAAGTCACGAGAGAAATGTTCTCGCTGCCTTTGCGCTCTTATTCTTTTTTTCTGTGGGTACCAGTTTTATGACACATGCCTTGTTATATATATATATATATTTTAAGTTATTTATTGTTCACTTTTGCTTTACTAAGGGCATGCCAGACGTCATTATCAAAATTTGAACATTTGTCTTTGTTTAGCCATAACACAAGTGGTACTTATGGGCTATCTATTTATTCTGTGCAGAGCCAGTACGAGAACCATTTTTTACATTGGGAAGACTATGCGTCATTCCATCGGGTTTCTGGGCAAAACGTAGTCAGTCATCATTGTTATGTATATTCAGATGATCAGATATTTTCCTATATCCAGTAAACTGACGGTAAAGCGCGTACAATAATTTCAACGTGTTACAGGTGCATAACATTGTTGACGATTGTCTCATGAAATCGATAACGTCTTTTATTTTATACCCAACTCCACATGAACACGTCGACTACTGAGGAGGCTTGTAGGAACCGAAACCTGACGATCCAGCCACAATTCATAAAGCCTCTCAGAGTTGCGTTTAGGCAAACATCCATCTCGACGATGCCTGGTGGCGATAGATGGGGTGGCAATGGCCATGTGCAATACCGTCTGTCTTTCAACCTAGTGATGAGGCGAATCTTTGCTTAAAAGTTTCTACCTGTCCTGCCAGCTGCTTTACTGCAATAATATTAAGATGACAAAATACATTACATGATTATACCGGGTGATATATTTTATTCGAAACTGATTTATTGTAAAAAAATCCGTAAAATATGCACTAATAGGGTTTCTGCAGGTGAGTCATACGGCCAGGGGGACATTATGTGGGTGAATTATCTTTGCGATAAGTAGGCTAATTTATTAAAGTTCAATCATTTACTTTTTATTTAGTGAACATATGATTTCACTTAGAAGCCTACTAAACCTCATCGAAAACCCCTATATCAACTCTTTTTAGAACGGCTTGAAGCACGTGGGAAACTCGGGGAAGGACCAAAGTTACCACTCGTGAAGCAGGCGCAAAGCTAGCAGAGGCACTGAACTCGATAATAGGGAGTTTTCGTAAATTATTTTCGCCGTCCAGTAAGGCCCTCCGCAACCCGCTACGATAGCGGGAACTCTACAGTCAAGGCTATCGGCGCGCAGGTGCAGTAGCAACTTCGTTGTGGAACACTTAGCGGAGGGTGCAGCGCGGTCTACGAAAACTCCCTAATGATCTAATCATCCGCGTTCCGGCGCTGCTAGCTTTACGCCTGCTTTACAAGTGATAACTTTGGCACGCCCCCGAGGTTCCCATGAGCTTCAAGTCGTTGTAAAAAGAGTTGATTTAGTGATTTTCGATGGCGCTCTCTGAGTTTCTACTCGGAACCACATGTCTATTTTCACTAATTAAAAAGTTAAAGAACAAATTTAATTAATTAGCCGACTTATCGCAAACATTAGCCACCCACATAATGTCCCCCTGGCCGTATAACGCACCTGCAAAAACCGTATTAGTGCCTCTTTTACGGATTTTGTTCTAGTAAATCTGTCTCGAATAAAATGTATCACCCAGTATACGTACTAAACGTGTTAGCATTTTTATCAAAATTAAGGGAAGGATTAAAAGCAAGAGTGTTATCAGTGGTAGCAACATTATTGACAGTAGCAAGTAGTAATAGTAATATTGAATGGATCTTAGAACGATAGCGAAAAAAACCCATTTGAGGACAGAGTGCAGAAAGCACAGTTTTTGTGGAAGTGTTGGTCGTGTTCTATGAGGTTTTTATTATTTCTTAAGTTTTTACACTAAACCAACGCAACTACAAAGAAAGAGCATTAGGTTGGAACGTTATTTTTTCTTTCTTTTTTTTTTTTTTACACGAACATACTAAAATCGTGCTATCCTAGTGTACTTGCATGCAAGGCCACTGACCAAGAAGTGTATTTGCGGCTGTGTAATTTCGGAGATACGTGTGGAATTTTTCTTCCAACATTTCCCTCGCCAAACATAATAACGTAGTACCGGATACCGTATCATTGTCGTAGTCGCTGGATTATCCTTTAATAACGATATTCAGATGCAGCTCATGGATTTAACACGAGTATTGTGTGAGCACCGTCTAAAATGTACTTGAATTGAAGTATAAATTATGTGAGAGGTTATGTCCTTCAAGTAAAGTAGCAAGTACCCCTCGGTACAATGTACTTAAAATAAAGTACTCTAAATACAATGTAATTTCAAAGTAAAGTGCAAGTAGTTCTTAACACTATCTTGCTAGGTACCCTTTTATTCCCCTATACCAGGCGTCTCAAACGCGTGGGCCACGACTCGTTGATGTGACCCACAAGCGTCCCGCGGCCGCAAGCCCCCATTCCCAATGACTAGAGCACCGATTGAGCCATAAATAATAGTTTCATATCGTCAATTCCTTTCCGCTCGATAGCCAGCTCTACCCTCTTCACGCATTTTGCACTATTCTGGTTCTTTTTGTTTTGGGAGAAGTATTGCTTCGTTTAAATATTTGTTTTTTAGCGATTTTTCACGTAAATCAACCTGAATGGCAATACAACTACAAGGGTGTATAAGTGCGAGCTCTTTGCTCAAAGAGGCACCTCGGCTGCACGAACTCTTTCTCAGCAGGAGCAATGGCCAAAGTCAAAGATAGAGCTATGAGCTCGGGCTCCAATTCGTCAGTCAATACCATTAAAGTGAAAGTACTTTCTTATAATGCTGCTACAAAAATCGTCAGGAACGCAAAGAGATTTCTTTTCTTTTTCTATTGTGCAACAGGGCCATGCTGGTGTGTTTGCTCTCGGTCTATTTTTGCGGTCCCACATCTCTTGTGGTTCGGGCAAGGCAGCGGGCACGGAGAGAGAAACTAAATATTAGTGCGTCATATTTTAACCGGACGACGCAAACGCCTCCTTTACCTCAGGGATGACAAAATTATTTTCAAAAAGTAATTAAATTACATTACAAATTACTTTTCTGAAAACTGCACAAATGTAATTAAATTGCATTACACATTACCACAGAATAAATGTAATGACATTACATTACAATTACTTTGACATTACTTTTGGATACCTTGAGGCAGTAATTCAAGCAGATATTATTTACCGTATACACCAAGACACTGTTTACAAAACAAGCCCTCGTTTGCCCCCACAGCCCGTGTGCAGGAACCAGATCCTGGAGAAGCGAGGCGCTGCGCATGCGCACTGCCCACAGCAGCGCCACCGCAGTGATATGACGTCAGAGAGCTGAGTTGGTCTCTATGTACCAGAACTCAGATCTTCCTGTTTACACCGCAATAACCTTATGCGCCCCAAAGTGAACCATACTGAACAGTGGTCTCGCTGGCGCACACAACATAAGTGTAAAACATGACGAACAGCTTTTTTAGATGTGATTTAAAGAGACAGTCAACTCACTCGTTTCGCTATTCATTCAACGGTGAAGGTTCTTACTAAAAGGGTAATATGTTTCCGTCTTCCCGATTGAGAAGTTGTAGTCCGAGTAAGTTTTTTTAAGTCGGGCAATGGCTCGCTTTTAGTTGTCACGGGAAATGTTTCCCCTCCGCCTCGGACACAATCTAATTCTATTCTCCCAAGAGCCTATTCTCGGTCATTCCTTTCAAGGAGAATTTTTCTCAAACATTCGTAGGGCCCAAGTTTTTGTGCACTGACGCACAAAGGGCCTGGATATTTGCTAAGCAGAAGCGTCGCTAGTTGAGCAGTGGCGCGAGCTTCCTAAATTGTGTACTTTCCCAACAAACGGGGGCGATATCTGCTTGTAGGTTTACACCCGAATAAACTTCCCAAGGGAAGGCAGCGAGGCATAGCGCGAGCGGTACCTGCTTTACTCGACGACGCACAAAACGTTCTGGGGCTTTGACAAGGCATTTGAAATTACCTACTTTTTCCGGTCGTTTGTTGTTCACAATGGTCGAAGCTTACAGTTTGACCTTGCTTGACGAAAATGCAAGGCTGGGAATCTGTTTGTCCTGTCCTCCCAGGTTTTAAATTAAGTTCAACTCAGTCACTGGTGATGTGCTGCCGCCTTTTATCCCATGACCCGTTTAGCTCTAAGCTAACGAACTGTCAGCTTAGGGATGAACGGTGGAAGCTACGTGTTTGTTGGAGCAGTCACACGTCTATCGTCCACCACGTAACCACGCTCTTGTTTATAACCACGCACATAGAAAGGAACAGGTGATTAAAGGAAGGTGCTTGATTAGTTTTGGTTAGCTTGCAGCTCCCACCGCACTGTTTGCTTAGGGATAAAGGAAGTATAGTATCGTCCTGATGACGCAGCGCCGTGAATCTGTCGTGCCTGGAGTTTGTAAGCCGTTGCCTTCCAGCGATGTCTACACGCAAGCTTTTCTGCTTCGCCTTTACAGCCCTCCTTTGTGCGTCTGTCCAGCTCTTCGTACGAGGCTTCACGCTCAGCGGCTCAGGTGGCCGTCACTTATCTCCTCCGATGCTGTTTCACAACATTTCAACATGCAAAACAATTTTCTCCTCTTTTTAAAACTTGCAAACAATCTTTCTAATTTAGGACAAAACTAATTCCAAAAATAAAGAGTAATTTCCTCGAAATTACTGCCTGAAAGTAATTTATTATATTACTAAATTACTAGCCTATACAAGTAATTTATTACATTACTCATTACTCCCAAAAGTAATTTAATTACTGTAATTCCATTACAGTAATACCATTACTGCAATCTCTGCTCCACCTGCGAGGGCGACCCGTTGTACCAAACGCGCGCGGCATGTGACGACATCGTGACGTTGTTGGTCCTGGCCAGCTCCTGCCTTACCAGTGGTCAGAACCGCTAAAAGCTTTTTTTTAGTCGAAATACAAAATATAAGTGGCGCGAACCGTTTCAATTATTTATGAAGCTAGTTTTTGTTCAGTATATTAGATCAGAAAAGAAACAAATGCAGTTTATTAAGTACGGAAAAAAGAAATGACCCGTCGACATCCCCGCCACCGCGCGGTGGAAAGGCGGCGTATACTAGGAAGGGGTCGTGAGATCAGGCGCCGACGACCGGCGAGCGTAGAAAGGTCCCGGATGTACGTGGCGGTGCTGCGGTCGTATGGGCTCGAGGATCCGACCGGTTCCGAGCGTTCCGAAAGCCCTCGGTTTGGCAGCGCGAACTGGCTCTCGTTCCGAACTGATAGTTACCCCGTGTTTGCTGTCGTTTCTGGCCAATGAAGTGTCAGGCCGAATTAGCGTTTAGTCGCGCAGCAAATGCAATGCGAGACGCCCTGGCCACCCTCTTCATACACCCTATCCAGCATATGCTTTAGTGGCGCCCTCTCGAGCCATCGAAACGGAGTGCGGCAACCGTGAGCGCTCGCTGAGCGCTCACGGTTGCCTCCTCTAGTTCAGGCCACTCAAGCCAGGACCAAGGACGTCATGAAGGAGGTTACGTTTCTCTTGTTTTACAATATTAATTTGCCTACAAGTTTTAAAATAAAGGGAAATTCGAGAAAAGAAAAGTTTCATTAAGTTACTACGTGCTCTCAGGTTCGGTGCATGTTAAAAACAAGTCAAAGCGTCGTTGCAGAGCCCCTGTAAAGGAGCTGTGCCACGATTCTAACGTTGAAAGAATTGGCATCTTCTACTTATGTTCATCTCGTCACAAAGGACAGAAAACACTACTCCTTCCTTCGAAATGTTGCGATTCCGTCGAGTAATCGTAAGGCAAATATTAGAATATTCTCCGACCTGCAGCCGCGAGCAGCGGCCATGAGAACCACGCGGCATGACGTCAACGGGGTCTTGTAGAAAGGTAGCAAGTTGTGCGAATACCTGCTCGATAAAAGGTAATTTTTCTATAAATCTTGTCGTTCCAACACAAATATATATGCGTCAAAAACCCGGTGTCATCGATAAATCTTTTACTACACGGAGTTTTAGTGGGGCTATCCATTCTTGGTCCACAAAACCGTTACCGCGAACAGCCACGAGAAGCCGGAGGGGGAGGGGGACACAGCCGGACAGGGACTGCCGAACCTGGAAGAGACTTTCCTCCTCTCACCATATTGTTCGCGCTGGGCCCGCCAGCACGTGGTCACGTGATCGCGAGCGGATCAGTTCTCGCTGCTCACTGATGGCTCTAGAAAGAGAGCTTTACCGGAACCCCGTGCGACCCTCATTGACGTCACAGCGCATGCGCACGTGACTCAGAAAATGGTGAAGGAGTTGAGAGGTGCCAAAAACCTTCATCTTTGTAAATTAAAAAAAAAAAAAAAAAATTAGGACCTGCAGGCAAAAGCGGTTTTTCGTTCTTTACTTCAGAAAGGTCGAGACACCGACTCCCAAATTGTTTAAGCAAAGCATTGAAACTGTTGCACAGCTTCTTTAAGGCAAAGGTGTTAATTGGGCCATTACGCAAAAAACCGGCGTCGGCGTTGTGCCCGAAAGATGGCTATAAAAATACGTCATCACGTACGCGCCTCAGAAATAAAAGACAAAGAAAAGAAGAACAACGCAGATGCTTCGTCACGGAAGCCGCCGTGAAGCCGGTGGGCTTCACAGCGCTCGCGCAGTGGAAGAGCGTGACGCCACCGCCGGAGCGCTGTGTGGGAAAACAGGATGTGGCGCGCTGCTTGTAAGAATTCTCTTCGTCTAGGAATGC